AAAAGTCGGTAATTCAAACCCACCAGAGGTGCCTAGGAAAACAGGCCTGGATATCTGCTTTGGAAAAGTCACAGCCATGAAGACCCTACAGAGCGCAGTCCTACTATGAAACACAAGGGGTCACTAGGAGTCGGAATCGATGGCAACTGTTTTTTTTTAATTATTCATTTTCAGTATATTTTCATGAAGGTATAATTTACGTACAGTCATGTAACTATCACAAAATGAAGCTGTAAAACAGTTCCGTCATCTACAACTAAACACTTCATGGGATTAGCGTTCTTGGTTTGAAGGGTTAGGGTGATGGCTTCGTGGGTCTACCCAGTCAACTGGCCTAGTGTTTTTAGAATTTCTGTTCTACCTCCTAGTTCAATGAGTACCGTCTGGGGTCTTAAAAGCTAGTGAGTGGCCACCCAAGATACAGTTGGTCTCTATTCTCCTGGAACAGCAGAGGAAGAAGGAGACTCAGGAACTGGAGAAGAAAATGGACTGCAGGTTTAATTGCCTGTATGAACTACTCCCTCTGTTACCATGAGACCAGAAGAAATGGATGGTGCCTGACCACCATTACTGAACATATTGATCATGGACCCAATAAATGGATCCCGACTGAAAGGAGGAAAAGCATGGAACAGAACTTTAAACTCATATGGAAACCAAATTTACAGGATAGAGTGAGACTAGGGGAACCCCAAATCTAATGTCTGGAAATAATTTTTAAACCTTGAATGAAAACTATCCCATGAAGCCATCGTTAAACAACACTTTAGCCCAATTAATAAAGAATGTTTGCTTCGAGCACAGAGCTCTTACAATCATCTGTATGAGTTTAAACTGGCAACAGTTAATCTAAAGCACAGATGAGAACTTTTAAGGGGCCGAGGGCCTAAATTAATGGAGATGAAACAATATGGGTAGAGATAGCGAGAATGGTGACACAATGTGAAGTATGTAACCAATGTTACTGAACTGTTCATGTAGAAATTGTGAGTGGATGTATGCTTGGTTCTGTACATTGCCACCAAAAATAAAAACAAAACAAACCAGTTTCATCACCAAACCAAAACCAAATGATGCTGTTGAGTCGATTCTGACTCATAATAACCCCATCTATGTCAGAGTAGAACTGTGCTCCATAGGGTTTTCAATGGCTGATTTTTCAGAGGTACACCCTCAGGCCTTTCTTTCCAGTCTGTCTTACTCTGGAAGCTTTGCTGAAACCTGTTCAGCATCACAGCAACACACAATCCTCCAGATGAGTGGTGGCTGCACTTAAGGTGCATTGCAGCCGAGAACGTTAACCCCATTTGCATCACCCAAGGACTCCCTGAAGGCGTTTAAAGTAAAAACCAGTTGCCATCAAGTCTATTCCGACTCATGGAGACCTCATGTGTACAGAATAGAACCTGTGTTCCATGAGGTTTTTAAGGCCATGACCTTTCAGAAGCAGACCACCAGGCCTTTCTCCCAAGGCACCTATAAGTGAGTTTCAACTGCCAACCTTTTGTGTGTCACCCAGGGACTCCCTGAAGGTGCTTGGGGGCAGGGGGGAAGGGTAGTGCACTGTGAACCGGAGTTGGTGAAATACAAATGCTACAGGGCCGCACCAAGTATATACATGGCTTCCTACATCTTCATGCAAGACTTCATTCCCTATCTACATGCTGGATGTCTGTAAACACCACCTTAAGTCTGGGCACATCTCTGCCCAAGGATTTCTTTTTACTCCAAGATTTAAGTAAGGGGATGGGAAGGCACATTGTCACACTTTATACTGGGTCAAAAAGTCATTTTAAGGGAGGACTACATGGGGTTGCCATGGGTATGAACTGACTCGATGGCAACTGGTTACTCTTCTTACCTCCTTATCCAACGATTGTTGTTATTGTTAGATGCCGTCGAGTTGGTTCTGACTCATAGCAACTTTATGTACAACTGCCTGGTCCTGTGCCATTCTCACAATCATTACTATGTTTGAGCCCACTGTTGCAGCCATTGTGTCAATCCATATCATTGAGTACCTTCCTCTTTTTTGTTGACGCTCTAGTTTACCAAGCATGATGTCCTTCTCCAGGGACTTGTCCCTCCTGATAACACGTCCAAAGTACATGAGACGAAGTCTCGCCATTCTCGATTCTAAGGAGCGTTCTGGCAGTACTTCTTCCAAGACAGATTTGTCCATTCTTCTGGCAGTCCACGGTAAAATGAAATCCTTGACAACTTCAGTATTTTCTCTGTTTATCATGATGTTTCTTATTGGTCCAGTTGCGAGAATTTTTGTTTTCTTTATGTTGAGGTGTAATCCATAGTGAAGGCTGTAGTCTTGATCTTCATCAGTAATTGGCTTCAAGTCCTCTGCACTTGCAGCAAGCAAGGTTGTGTCATCTGTATATTGCAGGTTGGTAACGAGTCTTCCTCCAATCCTGATACTGAGTTCTTCTTCATGTAGTCCGGCTTCTCAGATTATTTGCTCAGCGTACAGAATGAACAAGTATGGTGAAAGGATACAACCCTGATGCCCACCTTGCCTGACTTTAAACCACACAGTATCCCCTTGTTCTGTTCGAACAACTGCCTCTTGGTCTATGTACAGTTTCCTCGTGAGCACAATTGTGTTCTGGAATTCCCATTCTTCACAATGTTATCCATAGTTTGTTATGGTCCACACAGTTCAAGCCTTTGCATAGTCAATAAAACACAGGCAAACATCTTTCTGGTATTCTCTGCTTTCAGCCAAGATCCATCTGACATCAGCAATGATATCCCTCCTTCCACATCCTCTTCTGAATCCAGCTTGAAATTCTGGCAGTTCTCTGTCAATGTACTGCTGCATCCGTTTTTGAATTATCTTCAGCAAAATTTTACTTGCCTGTAATATAGGAGCCCTGGCGGCACCGTGGTTAAGGCAATTGACTGCTAACTGTAAGGCTGGCCGTTCAAAACCACTAGCAGCTCCCTTAGAGACTTACAGCCTCCTGGAAGCCCTATGGAGTCACTATGAGCTGGAATCCACTGGAAGGCAGTGGGTTGTTTTTGAGTGATACGAATGATATTGTTCAATAATTTCCACATTCTGTTGGATCACCTTTCTTTGGAATGGGCACAAATATGGATCTCTTTCCGTCAGTTGGCCAGGTAGCCGTCTTCCAAATTTCTTGACAAAGATGAGTGAGTGCCTCCAGCGCTGCATTTGTTTAAAACATCTCAACTGGTATTCAGTCAATTCCTGGAGCCTTGTTTTTCGCCATTGCCTTCAGTGCAGGTTGGATTTGCCAATGATAATCGACAGGAAAACCTTTGAAACTTATAAAGCAATCTACAAACAAGCTACCTACGCTAGGAATACCTATTAGCGGAAAACGCGCCTACAGGGCACGGCCGGCTCTAGGGAAGCCCGGGGGGCCCTGGCAGCGCGGTTTCCAGCTAGGCTCCGGCCGAGGTCTGCTCCAGCCGTTCGGGGTCCCCACCAGGTCAGTCTCCGTCTCCGGCCCATAGCGCGAGGCGGCCGTTGACAACTGCGGGCCGGCCGTTTTCATTATGAGAGAAGAGCCGGAAAAGCTTACCGAGCTCGGACACCACGCGGAGTAAGAGCGTTTCCTCAGCAGCAGTTGAACAAACCGCTCTCGGACTTGATGGAGGCGGAGCAGAGGCTCTGTCTCAACCAACTGAAGAGCCTTAAAATGCTTGCAGCGATGCTAGGACAGCCCCCAGCGCGAGGCACTCTGGGACTTGTAGTTTACTTTCTGGACAGCTCCTTTCCCACTTTGTTTCACCGCCTTTATTTCCCCTCTTCTCTGCCAGCACGCCGACTTCCTGGTCGCCGCACGTCTCCACGTAGGACTACACTACCCAGAAGTCTCCTCTTCGCGTCCCAGCTCGGCGCGGGCGCCGGCCGTCTCCTTCGCACTACAGTTCCCAGAAACCCTCTGGAGAAGTGCTTCCCTCTCTTATTTCCAGGACCACAATTCCCAGAGACTTCAACTTGACAGAGTTTCTCTTTTTACCTGGTCTCTTCTTGAGCTGGCTGGGCTTCGGCCGGCCAGCAGGTTCACGGCGACGACGTGACCCATCGTGAGTGGGCACAGGGTCTCCTCAGCGGCTCCTTTCTCTCGCCCCTTAGTTGTCCCTGTTGCAGGCCGTCGCGGCCGGCCTGAGCGGTGACCTGGCGGGCTGCGCCTGCGCTCTGCCCCGTTTCCTGCCTGGCTGGTGGCGGCGGCCATTTTGTCCATCCTCCTCCTCCTCCTGCTCCTCCTGGTAGGAGCGCAGTGTCCGGAGCAGGCTGGGGGAAGAGAACCCGAGAGCAGGATTCGGTGCCTTTTCCTCTGTCCCCAGCCGGCGTCCGGAGCCCCCCTCCCCTTCCTCCCCACCCTTCCTCTGCCTCTCCCCTTCCTCCCCACCCCCTCCTCTCCCCAGCCCTGCCCTCCCCCTTGTCCCGGGATCTCTCCGTCGCACCCACCATGATGGAAGACGACGGGCAGCCCCGGACTCTGTGAGTACCCGAGACCGGGCGTGCCAGGCGCCGAGAGGCCCGGGCACCGCGGGACGCTAAAAGGGAGGGAGCAGGAGAGCGGGGACCGAAGCTGGGACGCGCGGCGGCTTCCCAGCCCAGGTGGCGCGGACACAAAGTGCATTCCTCATTCTGTCCCCTTTTCCTTGGAAGGGAAACCCTCCCTTCCCCCAAACACAGTCACTTCCTGGGGTCTGGGGCTGGTCTCGAGCTTTTTCTCTCGCCCTTCTTTGCACACACTTCGTAGGCCCGGTTTCTGCACGGCGGAGGCTGTCAGGCCCGGGAAAGCGCCTGCTCCCCCTCTGCTTTGGGGGCCCGGAGCTGGCCGGGAGCTGCTGGTCCCCACAGGGGCAGGGCCTGGTGGGGGTGGGACTGGAGGTGGGACCGCGGCTGCATCCCCTGCAGGCCGGGAGGAATTAGCACTCACGCCCTCCACGTCCCCAGAGCGGCTAGAGTCGTTCCCGGCTCCTCTCCCAAGCTTAGCTCTCCGAGGAAGCCGGACACTCTTCCGCCACTGAAGCCCCTTCTCTCTTTCTGTCCCATGTGCCCCCGCCCACGCTGTCAGAAACACCCGCCAAGCGCCCGCTACTTTTGAAGTGCAAAAAGGACGTCTCTTGCGGCCCGAGCATCTTTCCTTTCTTGGATAACGAAGTTTACTTTGAGCGCTGCCCGCGCTAAACTGACAACCAGTTGTTAAACTCCCCTTGCTCTTTTGGTGTTGCCTCTTTCTAATCTGTTTGTGCGTCGAGACCTTCAGAGTTGGATAAAATGATGTCCTCATCCGCTCTTCGATGTGTACCTTTGGGGCGCTTGTTGTCTGTCTTGCTGTTACTTTTTATCTGTAAGCCCAATCTAATGAATGAATTTCATCTTCCAACCTCTTAATTCAAGTTTCCTTTCCTAATGAAGGTGATGACTCAGCGTTTGTGTTCCTTTCTGGATAGTGTGGCACTCCTTTCTTCCTCCCGCATCCTTTTTTTTTTTTTAATTCTGAGTAATTTCTAATTAAATGTTTAATTTGGACACCTTCCGTTTTCCCAGCCTTTCGAGGCTCAGCACTCCTACCTTAAGTAGGAGTTAGATCGCTGCTTTGTTTCTCTTGCCTCTCCCTGCTATTGATATGATCATAGTTCACTTGGCTCTGCTGTCTGGTGGGGAAGTTATTTTGTGGAGAATAGATGAAGATGAATACTCAGGAAGTTTGATTAGTTTCCATTTCTTCAGTTCTACCAAAGAAAGTAAGCTCAGTGAAGAAGATAAATCTATGTTGAATATTGATGTTGGGGGTTTTTTTGTAGCCATGTACTTATTCTTTTCTATTTTTCTAACATCTCACTAAAGTATCTGTCATTCTGTTTTGAAAATTTGACGCCAATTTAAGCACATCGAGTGCTTGAATGAAAAGCCTGCTTAGGAGAACTTTTATGTTTATGTTTTGTGCTGTCTTCCATTACTATCTTCTCCACCCAAAAAGGAGAGAACTGGGACAAACCAGAAATTTGTCCATTAACATCTATCTTTTGAAGCCAAGTCTTAGTATTTAGTTAGCGATGTGTACTTTGATAGTAACATCTGGGAAAACAATGTAGAGCCTAACTGGCATGTATTTAACAGCTGAAAGTTACATTGTATCAAAAAATCTGAAATGTCATTGCATTATAATAGCTACTGAATAATTGGTAAATTCTCTTGGCGTTTTTCTCATTAGCTTCAACTATGTATCTTTTCCTTAGAAAGAGGAACCCCTGGTATTGTCATGCTTAACAATATGCTATTTTAGCACCTTTTATTCAAGCAACTATCTTCGCATCTGCCTTGTCATCTCTTTCAGGCCTTCTCCAGCAGACTAATAAGCTAACTTTGTCACTAATTTCCCACCTGTAGCTTCTCTATAGTCTCCTGTCCCTTCTCTGAAACACATTTAAATTGTCTATGTTTACAGTTGTCTAAAAATGTGACATGTATACATATGAGTAAATAAACATCTTAAGTTTTGTTGTACCTGTATGTCAGTACATGTTGATTCTTCTGTCTTCCTTTTTCCTTCTCCCACTCTTCTCCATGGTAAGACATTTGTAGACAAGGACTGCTACATCCTCCTAGGTCTTAACCCTGCAGCACTTAGTTCCCTGCCTGGAACATAAGAGGTACTCAGTAAATCTTTTACAATGATTATATTTCTTTCATTAAGTTAATATTAAGTCCTTTTTTTTTTTAAGTCTTAATTGATTTAAAATTATAGACAGACATTACTATCACACATAGTGCAATCTGTTGATTTTTATTTTTAAACCCTCAAATGTAAAATTTTGAGATATAAACAAATGTTTCACAATTGAGGATTTTTGTCAGAGCTTAATGAAAATAATGCATAGTGGGTTTTTTAAGTGTATGTTTTACATATTTGTCCTCAAAGGAGTCTTAGATACAAGTAACATGAAAATTTGAGTGTGATTTTAGAGGTTGATGTCTAGTAGGGTTTTTTTGTTATGGAGAGCCTTCTTGTATTTTGCATTGTGATCTATAGATTAGGTTTTCAAGTGACTAGTATGTTTTTAAAAAATGTACTCTTAACAAAACTTATCTTAAATTGTTTCCTTAAAATGCCTGTGTGTTACTAGTGAGGTTTTTTTCCTGCAGACACACACAAGCTAAGACATATGGTTCTATCTTCAGAAAACAATATGGTGTTTATAGCCTAGGTAGGTCTTTAAATATTCATTACCTACAGTATTACTAATTTATTTGATGGTATTTAAGTGGTATAGAATTGCTTTGATGTTAAGCCTAAAGCTCCGTTTGTCATATAGTTGCTTTAAAGCTCTGTTTTCCGATATTCTTCATTCTCATTTGAAATTTTGGGGTGATATGTATTGGGTAACTTGAAGAAAACAAAAGGGATCATGCTGTGTAATACTGATGTTGGAACTGTACTGCCAGATGCCTGCCTCCAGGACATATTTCAGGCTTCTGTGTGTAACTTTGTAGTGCAGTGATTTAATCCATGGTATATGTGAACCCATAATAAAACACGAAATTATAATAGTGCTCTGTTGTGTTTGAGTTTGTTTTCATCTCTACAGTGCACCAAAATTGGTAGGAATTGTGGATCTGGGATAATACCTCATTATCAGTACTATTCTTTAAGGCTCTTCTTTCTTCATGATAAAGGCTCAGGCAAAAGGAGGAAATAACCAACCAGTGATTAGAGCACAGTCTGAGCATCGAAGGGCAAGAGCACAAGAAAATACTATAAAATCCATTATAAAATTGACTAGCTATACCATGGGTTTAAGGAGCCCTGGTGATGCACTGGTTAAGCGCTGGTCAGCGGTTCAAACCCACCAGCTGCTTGTGGGAGAAAGATGTGGCAGTCTGCTTCCGTAAAGATTACAGGCTTAGGAAACCCTTTGGGCAAGTTCTACTCTGTCCTGTAGGGTCGCCATGAATCAGAACCGACTTGATAATGGCAATGGGTTTGGTTTTTGGTATACCATGAATTTGGCTATATTGTGACTATAATTCGGCCCCTTGTAAACTTAATTATATTCTGTTTCGTTAAAATGTATGTGTGTTGTTATTTCTTACATAGTCGGTCAATTCACTTGTACCTTCTGCATCTTTCCTCCACTCTGCCTCCTCCCCAAAATGAAATATTGACAAATTGAACAATTCAGTAGTGGTCTATTAAAGGATATTGTTGTAAAATTTCCTGTTTTACAGGAATTTATCAAGAATAAAAGCAATATTTTTATTTAAGTTTAGCCATAGTATTTTGTGTAAAAATGTTGGTAATTTCACCCTTCGTAGGGCTACTCTTTTCAGATGGAGAGCACAATCACTGTTGAAAGACTGAATAGTCTTCAGAAAGGCATGATATTCTTCACTTAAGGTTCTGCGCAGTTGGACATAGGAGGTAGTTTGGCAATGTGAACTTTTGCCTACTGGGAAGCTGCCAAGTTTCTGGTCTCAAATTGGATTTTAACCCTAATGTTAGGGATAAAGGCATACTTTTTAGTTTTAAATGCTTTAGTTCCTATAGTTCCTGTTCTTAGAAGACAAAATAGACTTCTGAGGTATGCCTTTTTATTTCCCTTGTTAAAAATCATTTGAAATTTCCTATATGTTTACTCTTTGAATTGTTCTCTCAGTACAAGAATTTAAGCCATTTGTCTTTTCCTATTATTTGTATGTATTATTCAGGTGGAAATGATTTATTAAAAAACTTAGAATATATTAACTCTATATAACCAGAATAGAAAGAAAATGAAGTGTAGAAACTGTAATTTGGGAAGAAAAAAGATGTTATTTCAGTATATTACCAAGAAATGATGTTCTTACTAGGTCAAGTATTGGACATTTGTCTTAAATATTTTGGTAGTATTTATTTTGGAACAGATTAGATAGTATAGTACAGTATTTTTAAAGTTACAAAATGTATCTATTAAATATTATGATGCAAGAATTACAGAACTCTGAGTAAAGGAAAAAACAATCTGAAATTTGGGTAAAATAAAATGGTTAATTATGTTTGTTTTATCCTGGTAAGTGAAGATGTTCTACATGTATGACCTGGTGACGATCTGTTCCCGTAAAGATTACAGCCTAGGAAACCCTATGGGGCATTCTGCTCTGTCACACAGGCTCGCCATAAATTGGAATCTACTCAGTCATACAAAGCAACAACAACATGTTGCATGGAAAGCCTTTTATGTGGATTTTTAGAATTGAGCTTGCTTCTTTACCGCCTAACTTACTGGAGATATTTGAAACATAGGAAACCTTAAAACCGGTTTTCTGTTAAGTTTCACAATATTCTAAACTTAGATATTAACGTTTTTCTCTTGGACATCAGCGCTAGAAATGTAAATTAATGGTAATATAGCTAAATGTGACACTAGAAATTCTTCAAAATCTATTATTGATTGGAAATAGGTTGACATGAAATAAAAATTCTATCAAACAGTAACAGCTTGTATTGTGATTGTTAGGGATGGAAGTTTTTCCTGAACAAATCTGCGTGTAAACAGTAATGTAAATTTTAAACTACTTAAATTTTGTTATATTTAGTAATTCTACTTTAGTTTTGCTTCTTCAGTATGTGAAAAATCAGCTTTATTCATTTCTCTTCTATTAGAAATGTATTAACTAGCCCTTTAGGTTAGATGAGCTTAATGCTTAGGAGATCAAGGTCATTTGTTCATTTTCCTTATAGATTGGTTTAGTTTTGTAAAAAATTATTTCATGAATACAGGCTCACAAACCTTATGGATTAAAATGGGACATGCAGTTGTATGTATGGCCAGCTCATAATCCTATAACCTTTCACCGCTGCTGGAAAAAGTCTGTCACTGCATAGCCCACTGATGATCGGCTCTAATTATAAGGAAAAGATGGCATAGTGGCCCTAAACCAGTTTATCACTGGTTCAGTCTTCCGTTTAAGTAGCTTTGGGCTTGTGTTTCAATTTTAGAGCATGTAAACTAGTGTTACCCATTTTCATTGCAATGAAATTCTTAACTGGAAAATTGCTACTCGTACTTAATTGGATTTTTTTTCCTTAACCTTGGCTTTCTTGGTCTGCTATTTTTCTCTTTGACAGTGTTCCATCTTAAAACAGTTATGTATTTAATATGGCATCCAATGAATGCAAGGCTTATTTTGATCTAAGCGCTCAGTTTCCAGATGTTATGTATTAGAAAAATAAAGCTTAGGTCCTTTTACTTTCCAGAAGAAGCTATGTTAAATTTTACAAATATTGTTTGGTTTATGAGATTGTTTATAACAGATGTAAGTTTGAGGATTTAAAAAGATTCCCACCTGTATACACTGAGTATCAGAAAGGCTTAAAAGTTTGGCAATTTTTTAAGATAAATCCATGGTATAAGATATATACTAAGGTGGTCATCTCTGGGTGGTGAAGTTATAAGTACTTTTTCTTTTTTAAACTTACCTGTATTTCAGCATTTTTATACCAAATATATATACATTCAATTCGTAATTAGAAAAAACCTGAATCTTTATAAATGCCCATAGTTGAAAGTATACCTGGATTTTGTTAGTTTTTCTTTGAATTTCTATAGAAAATTTTTTATTTGTTTTATCTATATTAAAGATGTATTATGTTGATTCTGATGCTAAAATGACTAGAGAATTTTATTATTGTACTCTGCTCACCTAAAACAAAACAATGAATATGTGTCATTGATAACAGTCTTATTTAGTCAAAAAGGAAAAGGGAAAAAAAGGCCTCCTGTTGCTGTGTGTTTTACTATAACTTCACTCTAATTCTGTTTGTTCATGTTACTGCTTTGGTTGAGGTCTAAGATAAACTCATCTTATGTCTAATATCTTTTATGATCAGATGTTTTAATGAATCAGTATTTGTTGTTATGTGGTGTGTTTGTGTTATAAATTATGTCTCAAATCCATATCCTATAGTTCATATATTGAGAATGGTTTAAATTTTTAACGATTGGAATAAGATGAGAAAATTATATATCAGGTGCAGGATAGTGTCTCTTAGGCTTATGCAAGGTTACTGATTTGTCCTTTATAATCTTTTGAAGTGGTACTTTAGTGGCCTAAGAACAATTGTTTTCCTAAATAAGGGTTAATCTTATCTTTCATAGGATCAGGTTAAATTGGGAAAAAATTTATTGGAGTCAGAAGTTAAAATAAAAGGTGATGAACTAAATAACAATTTAGAGTCAGAGCTGAAGGAAAATTTCTGATTGTTTTTTTTCCCCCTTCTTGTGCAGCTATGTAGGTAACCTCTCCAGAGATGTCACAGAAGTCCTTATACTTCAGTTATTTAGTCAGATTGGACCCTGTAAAAGCTGTAAAATGATAACAGAGGTAAGATCTTCCCAATTACATGTGCTGTCAATTAGTACGATGTTTAATATTTTGAGATACATGAGTTGATTGTCGTCATTTTGTAAAATCATTTTAAGCCTAAAGTTATTCTAGTGGAGAAATGCATGTTTTTTGCATTGACTTATTACTTTGGTTTGGCTGACAAACTATGTTTAGGATAGTCTTCTATTCAAGAAGGCAAAGTTTCTGTGTTGTTAGTCTCAAATGGCAATTCTTCATGATACAGTTACCTTCAAATGATTCTGCTTATAAAAAGTTATTAGAGCTTATGTCAGAGAGGTGAAAAACTCAGTATTTCTTACAAATCCAATAAGAATGTTACTGATTCAGATAGGATACATTTAAAATTTGGGAAGAATGTTACTGATTCAGATAAGATACATTTAAAATTTGGGAAGAATGTTACTGATTCAGATAGGATACGTTTAAATAGGAATTGTATATAAAAAGAACAAGTTATTATGTTCATCATGCAGCATCATGCATCTTTCTACATTTTAATACTAATGACTGAGCAGACTTATGTAGATGTTGTTGTTGTAGGCATTTAAATTTTTAGGTTAATAATTTTGTTTTCTTTTTTTCAAAGAAAACTCAATTTTTATACTTCCTGGTTAGGACACTGCAGCAATGCCCAACACCTCATGTTTTCAGTTGTTTTCTTCCTTGTGTTTTTGTTTCTTCATCAACACTTTTTAGAAATAGTATTTACTGTGTACCAGGGTACAGTGGTGAATAAGACAGTTCCTAGCACCGTAGAATTTCAGAGTGTAGTCAGGGAGTCAGAAGAGTTAATAGAAACTGATGATATAGGTTAATAAATGCTATGGAAGGAGATAGCTCAAAGCACAGTGGGAGCACGTAGGGAGGGTATCTAGTACAATTTTAGGAGGTTGGGGGAGGTTCATGTAGGAATCAGTGTCTAGGCTGAAACCTAAAAGGGTAGTAGTAGAAATAGGCTAGAAAGGAATTTGAGAAAGAAGGGATTCCAGGTAGAGAGAAGAGCATTGATCCAAGGTAGTAGTCAGAGATAACACAAGTGCTTGTGAGAGAAAGAGAGGGAAGAATAGAAAGTACAGCATGGTTGATGTTTAGAATGGAATCAGTCATAAGCTGTGGCAGAGAGGAGGCAGGAGTGTTTGGCAGCAGCCAGAAGCCATGCTAAGTTGGTGTTTTATCCTGAGATGGTGGGGAACTGTTAAAACTTGTAAAGCACATTGGGCTTTTGATCATCATTCCTAACTAATGGCAGTCATCATTCTGTTCTGGTGTATATTTTTCCTTCTATCCTTCCTGTCTTTGATTATTTATTCATTTATTCTTTCATTAATCAAAATTTTACTTTGTGCTAGGTGCTATTCAAGGCACTGGGGAAATAGTGGAGTACCAGACAAATGAGGTCACCATGAGATCTCATTTTAGTAAGAGTATTGTTGAGAAACAAGTACACAAGATAATTCCAGATAGGGATAAGAGCTATGAAGAAAATCAAACAACCCTGTGATGGTGATTGGAGGGATGGTACTAATATAGGGTAGATGGTAAGGGAAGATGTCACCTCTCTGAGCTGAGATGTGAATAACAAGATGGAGCCACCTATGCTAAGAGCTGGAGGCAGAGGGAACAGCAAATACAAAGGCCTCAAGTTGGAAATGAGCTTGGCATGTTCCTGGAACCAAAGACCAGGATGGCTGGAAGCTGGTGAGTGATGGATGGGAGTGGTGGGAAATGAGTCCATAGAGGTAGGCAGGGTGCAAACTCACACAGGGCACTATGGGCCATATCAGAGGTTTGGATTTTATTCTGGTTGCAGTAGCAGGCCACTGGAGGGTTTTAAGCAAGGGAATGATTTGCATTTTAAGATTACTGTGTGGAGAATGGATTGTAGAGGGCAAGAATGGAAGGAGAGGAACCAGTTGGGTGTATTTCACTGTCTAGGTAAGAAATGATGAGGCTTATTCTCTAGAGTGGTAGCTGTAGAAACAGAGGTAGATAAATTTGGGATATACTTTGGGGTAAACTTTAGGAATGGATTGGCTGAGAGAAGTAAGGCAAAGAAAAAAGCAAACAAGAAAACTCTAAGATTTTTGTTTGTACAACCGTGTGGCTGGTAATGCTATTTAATAAAATAGGGGTGGCTGAGGGGGGCACAGGGTGGGTGGGGGGAGTGGTGAAAATTGGGCATTGTTAAATTTAAGACCAGCGGTAGACACCTAAATGGACATTTATGTAGGCAGTTGGATAAACTAGTTTGGAGCTCTGGAGATACCACTGCTGTAGATCTATGGTAGCTGATGCCATGGGGTTAGATGAGATCGCCTACGGAGAGTGTTGATGGGACTAGAGGGGCATAGGCCAGAGCCCTGGAGCACCCTCAACTTTAGGAGGCTGAGGGAAGGAGGAAGAACCATCTGAAGAGTCCTCCAGTGAGGTAACAGGAAAACCAAGAGGAGCATGGGGGAGCCAAGAGAAGAAAATGTTTAAAGGCAGAGGATAGCCGTCCCTTGTTTTGAATGCTGCTTGGAAGTCAAGACGAGGACAGAAGGGACCCAGGGGATGGCAGAGTGGTCGCGGTGAACTCGACAGGCAGTTTCAGTGGCACGGTCAGGTTGGAAGCTGACCAGAGTAGATTTAGGAGAGAATGGAATGAGAGAGAGTGGAAAGAGTCACTCAAAAATTGTTGAGAAACATTTGATAAAGATTTGTTTTAACAGGTTTTTTTTTTTTTTTTTAAAACGTATGGATTTATCCCGCCATTTAGGGGATGGAGGGACTTGAAATGAATTTTTGTAATGTGTCCATATTCTAGAACTACCTAGATATGGACTTTTAAATAGTTGTGAACTCTCATATTTCTCTGTCTTGACATTTATGTCATTCAACAAAAATTGGTGACAGCACTAATTAAGGTAAGCACGCTTGGTGATGGTGTAAAATGGAAAGCTTCCAAGGGCCGTGAGCTCTAGTACAGAATATCTGGGCATTTATTTTCCTTTTGTAAATTTTATTTCAATATATGGAAAGTCCTTTCTTCCTCTTAGTTTTGTGGTTTTTACTTTAGATATTCTTTATCTTAGATTTGAGCTTTCCCCATCTACTATAATAAATATATATTATTGATTCTAAAATAAATGTTAAAAAAAATTTTAGCATCTTTGACAGTTGAATGTGACTTAAAAATCAATGGAGTCTTAAATTCACTGAACTACAATGTGTGTGAATATATATTGCTTTAATGTCACTTTTCTAGAAGGATACGTCGAGTGGGATCTCGCCTACTACTAGTTAGATAAATTTGAAGTCAGTCAGTGTGCATGAGTAGGCTTGTATTGTAGAGCCTCTTACTATCGTGGAGTCCCTAGAGTGGTGCAAGTGGTTAACGCGCCTGGCTGCTAACAGAAAGGCCTTGGAAGAAAGGCTTGGTGATCTACTTCTAAAAATTCAGCCATTGAAAACCCTATGGAGCACAGCACAGCTCTACTCTGACGCACATCGGGTTGCCATGAGTCGGAGTCGACTCAACGGCAACTGGTTATCGTAGATGAACCGTTGGACCCCTGTGTGTTTTGCTACAATTATCAGTGTTTCTCTTGGAGACTTCAGGGCATAAGAGGTAGGAGCAAAGGGGAAAATCAACTAGCACAGTTTTAGCTTTTTATTTGCTCTTAAATCTTTTCTTCAATGAATGTTATTGGTAAACATTAACTCTTTCACAGGAGAAATTTAAGTGCGTATTTTTACTTGGACACTTTTCCCCCATTTTCTTCCTCTACCTTTAAGACTGCATTCACATCACTACGACACTAGGATTTTATATGAGAGCCCATAGTCTGTTGTCAGTGTTAATGATCACACTTCTTTCCCCTCAAGGAATGCCTCTGGTTGCTTCACCACTATTGTTTTAGACGTCCTGTTTTGAATTTTTCTTCTACAATTTTCCTGGAATGAAAAACAGTGACTGTTGAAAAGATCTTTATTTTATCTGGTATTTTTATCCCTTATAAGTCCAACTAGAATTCCACATTTTAAATATTACTCTTGTAGGGCATTTTACATTGAACAGTGATGAACGTTTTTAACCTTACCTAAAAAATACATCCGTACTGTTGTATAGCTATTCAATATAGGTTGTAGTTATATAAAAATTCATTTCCATTTTAAGTGATAACCTTGCTATCACCTAGTAGCACTAGCTGCTTTTCATCGTCTTTATAAATGCCTGTTCACCAACTACTGGCAAGCAGACCATTGTAGAATATAGGAATACAGATTTCTTACATTGGTATTTTTGTGGTATAGAAATGTAGCCTATGTTTTGGAATATTTTACTTAGACACATTTTCAGAAATTTTTTTCTTAATCTCTCATCTATTTCTGTGTTCTTTGGAAGATCAGATTCAAAGTGTATAGACTCTCCAGTACTTTAGAGTATTTTGGAAGATCAGGAAGTTGATTTCAGTAGCTGGTTATAAATCTTAGCTTTTTTGTTTCTATTCTATTCTCTACTTATCCAGAAAAGAAAATATGCATAATCCATCCAGTCTTTGTAGCAATATCGTCATATTGTAGTACTAATCCTAGTTTCGATCAGGAGTAAAGTTTGTAAAGTTGGTTCATTTCTGTACTTTTAATAGTCATGGGATACAATTTATGAAGGATTATGATAAGTAGAATTCATCCTTTTTTAAAATAATGTTTGGAGAGAAGAGCAGTGATAAGGAGTGGTCCTCTCAAAAATCTGAGCTTGAGGTTTTGTTTGGTCCAATGTAAACTTCTATTCTGTATTTAGCATACTTCACCTGAATTCTGTATTTTGATCTTTATCAGTAAGCTACTGAAGTACCTACATAAGTAGTTAAGAAATAATCTAAAGGCATTATAGAATAGCAGATAATTTTTTTCATTGCTCTATCTTTAATCATTGGTGATCTGGTCTACTTTTATCTATCTGAAGTGTCATAACAGTAAGATTTTTTATTTAATACTGATAGTCATGATTCTATACTGCTTTTATGGTTCTGGTGAGTACAGCAGTAATCTGAGGTTTAAAAATCTGGTTTAGCTGTAAATCTTATTTTTTAAAGTGTTAGGCTTTCATAAGCTTATGCAATCTCACTGTGTACATTCCTAGCTATCAGTAATGTTTTTTCCTGGATTTTCTTCTCAGCAACCCGATAGCAGAAGGGTCAACTCTTCTGTTGGATTTTCTGTTTTGCAGCATACAAGCAATGACCCATATTGCTTTGTGGAATTTTATGAACACAGGGATGCAGCTGCTGCATTAGCTGCTATGAATGGGAGAAAAATTTTGGGAAAGGTAAGATAATAGAATGATGGCCCTATAAAAATGAGTATATATATTTGCATGTCAAATTAGTTTTAATTCTTCCTTAGTAAGTTTTTTAACAAATATTTAGCTGCTGAGTGACAGTTTTGCTTTATTCAGTCTAGTGCTTTTACAAAAATAAATCCTTCTGCTTGGTAAATGATTTAATAAGTGGTGTTATGATTCATAATGACATGCCTAATAATTGTATTAAATATAATCTTTATTTTTAGGAGGTCAAAGTAAACTGGGCAACAACACCAAGTAGCCAGAAAAAAGATACTTCCAGTAAGTACTCCTGCTGCATTTTACTGTGGAAGAGTTCTGAAATTATCCTGGCAGCATTACCAGCCCAAGCAGGGTTTTCCCCCCCTTTAGTGTTGCCTAAAAAACATTTAGTAGCTGACTTCTTAAGTATTTGATTACCAAATGCTTTGATTTCAGATCACTTCCATGTATTTGTTGGGGATTTGAGTCCAGAAATTACTACAGAAGATATCAAATCAGCATTTGCCCCCTTTGGTAAAATATCGTAAGTATCATAATCAATACTATACTGAATAGTGATAGGCAGAATTGTATCTGATGAACTTGTACTGGAATCCAGATTTTTCTTTCCTTAGTTAGTGTGGGGTTTGTTTGTTTGTTTGTTTGTTTGTTTGGAGTAATAGATGTTGTTGAAAATGTTAATGTCATTTCAGTGTTTTGGGGTCTTGTTTTCATCTAATCCTGTATGTAACGTGTTTTAAAAATTTAAGTGATTATGTTTGTTATCTTTGAAGCAGATGTTTGGGTAGTAAAACCTATCAAAGTCCAACTTTTTGTCAATATTTTCAAATTTTGGTGGTTAAGGATAATGGAGTAATAAAAAATATGATTTATACTGTATATTAAACTTTTATAAGAGGGGTTTATAAATGGGGAAAAGTAGGTAAATCCTTGAGTGTATTGTGAATAAACTGGAAATGCTCATGTTTAATTATAATGATAATTGTGTTTTTGATATTTTAGCTGCAAGTGGAAAGTAGTAATCTTACTGTATTAAAATGTTTCAGTGTCTGAGTCATAAGTGTGGGATTAATTAGTAGGTAATTTTGTTAGTGGCTTTTGATTTTGCTAGTTAGGGGGCAAATGTGGTTTGATTTTTAACAAATTTTATGCTCAAATTTCACTGTATGTTACTTGCTCAAATATATTAGAAAATTAAAAGTTCTATAAAATGTTTATCACAATTTATCTTTCTGAATAAAACCAGTTTATATGTTTACTTCCTGTGAATCTAAATTAAATGTTTTAGTACTAATTTACAGGAATATGTTTCAACTAAGAACAACAATTTCTTTCTCTATACAGTTTGTTGTTCTATATATTTAATTGAAAGAAAGATTTAATAATTTTCTATTTTAATGTTTGCTTTGCTTTTTAATCTCTAAATGTGGTAAGTAGTACTGTTTTAAAAATCAGTATAAAAATAATACAGGTTGCTGTTTTTCAATCTTTATTTATACCTGAGACCTGCAGTTTTTTTTAAAGTCCAAGTCACAATTAAAAGTAATAGCATTCTGGTTATTTTGCAGAATTGCTCATAAGAATGGACAGGATCTTGAAGGCTAACTGCAAGGAACTGTGCACACTGGAACTCAGTTGTAGATTTTTTTCTCATTTCTATTTATTCTTATTATACATTATTTATATATACATATTTTAGTATTTACATTTTAACATTCTATATTCAGTGGAGTTCTATATTTCCAATCATTTTAACTTACTCACTAAAATTTCTGTGTAAATTTGTTGTTTTCGTACTGGTGTGCTTAGCATTGTTGTTAGTTTTTATTCTCCTTTCTTAAATTTCTGAAAATGTCAATTTTTCAAAATTTACAGCTGCCCAAACTCCAAAATGATGGTAGAGAATTGACCAAGAAAAATAAAGAAATCTGTTAACAGGCCATGTATGCCTTTTTAATTCCTATTTTTTCCTCTTTTTCAATTTTTTAATATTTCATATATTTTGTATCACTAGGCAGAAGACATTTAACTATTTAGAGATTGCATGGTAAAGTAGTTAGCATTGTTACAGTAACTTATAGACTCAGTAAACCTTAGAGGACACTAGTCAATAGAATATTAGAAAAGGAAACTTGTTCCTCTTAATCTTCAAATTTGAGCATTTAGTTTAGAAAGCACAGGCTATTTGATTAGGTTGCATGTTTATTACATGTTTTTGTCCTACTGCTTTTTTCTAACAGGTAAAGAAACATTAGGGAGAGTTCAGGAATGGCTGTAGTTAATTAGGGCTAACTGGAATTTTATTTAAAAAAAATGCTCACAATACAGTGTGTGTGGTTCCTTTTAGTTTTTATTTTGAGGGTGACTCTTACTTCCCTCATTTAGCTGTGCTTCTTTCCACAGGGATGCCCGGGTAGTTAAAGACATGGCAACTGGAAAATCCAAAGGCTATGGTTTTGTATCTTTTTATAACAAACTGGTATGTTCTTTCAATTCAATTTAATTTTTATAATACTAAATTTAATCATTAATATATCTGAAACTTGAGTAACATGGGAAGTGAACCACAAAACACAACTTACGTGTAATTTTGTGTATGTTAATGATAGAGCATATTCTTTTTTCATAAGCTTGGAAATAGCTGGAAAAGGATAGGCTAATAACACTGTGAGGAAATTATTAAAATTGCATTTGTGCATCGGCGAAGGTAGGATACGTTAGAAGTAAATCCCAAAACTGGGATAAGTGATCTAATCTGATAATTTGGAGGGGGTGGTAAATTCATTCTTAATCATGAAAATCTCAGTTTTAACTCTTTTAGTTATTATCCATACTTTTATATCTGGGATGTTAATGACTACTGCAAATTATTAAATGAAAATTTAAACATTTCATCTTGATTTTTGTATGTATTCTTTAGGAAAAGGGTACCAAAATATCTAAGCATTTGAATTAACTGTAACATTAAATAATAAAGTGGGCTTTGAGATTGGAATCTTAGAACAGTTTCAACACCTTAAACTGCATTTTATTGAAGCAGTAAAATAAAGGCCAGGGATCGGATCCCATCTATGCTTAGATTCTTTGCAGATTTGCATTGATTCTGATAATCTAAACTTTTATTTTATGCCATTGTACAGCTGGAGCCCTGGTGATGCAGTGGTTAAGCATTCAGCTGCTAACTGAAAGGTTGGTGGTTCAAACCCACCGGCTGCTCCACGGGAGAAAGATGTGGCAGTTTGCTTCCGTAAAGATTACAGCCTTGGAAACCCTATGGGGCAGTTCTACCCTGTCCTATAGGGTCACTGTGAATCTGAATTGACTTGACGCCAATGGGATTGGTTTTGGTACAACATTTTAAATAATAATGCAAAAGTCTTCTGTCTTTAAATGAGTTTTAAATTTTGTATCAGAGTCATAATTCGTTGCTATTAGAATGTAGATTTTTGGGAGGGGAGGTAATTTAATAGTTTTTATATGTTACAAAAAGTTGCGTTACAAATTGTAAAATTAAGATATTTAAAAACAACTTTGTCTTGTGGGATTTTTGCTTCCCTTTTTATTCAAAAGTTCATATTTGAGAAACTAAAAAATTTTTTTATGATAATCAGTGGGATTACTATTTTTCCTTGCATATTTTAATTGTGATAAATGTCCCTGGATGCTTAAATGCTGTCCTAGTATTTTGAAACTTATGAATAAAAATAGCTTTTATGAGTCACTCAAGTTGAAATTATTTTCTCGTGGTATTCAGTTTTGTTTGTTTAGGATGCTTAGTGAGTTTACTGATGAGATCTATTGAATCCAGCAATGACAACATTTAATTTCATCTTACTGGGAGTTATATACCAGCATTTTCTTTGTTTGTGATTGCTTTTTCTCTCTTTCCCTTTTTTTGTCTGTAGGATGCAGAAAACGCAATTGTGCATATGGGAGGTCAGTGGTTGGGTGGTCGTCAAATCAGAACCAATTGGGCCACACGTAAACCACCTGCACCAAAAAGTACACAAGAAAGTAAGATATGTCTACTGTATACATACGTCTGCTATGTCTACATGTATCGTAGAATTTGTAGTAGTAAATTCTTCACAAAATCATGTATTACTATAGTCTTAATTTCTTAATATTTACATTTTATTAACATTGCAAGACTCATTTCATCTGGAATTTGATTGAAAAAGAAATGGGCTCCAGTATAAGTATTTTGGGAGCTGTGAACCACCTGCTTTTAGAAATTATAGCATCAAGAGAAAAAGTTATGCAACCAGTGTTATGAAACAATTTGTGTGTAAATTTTTGAATAAGAAACTAATTTGCACTCTAAACTTTCACCTAAAGCACAATAAAATTTAAAAAAATGTTTTTAATTGGTGGAAAGGTAAAAGGAAAAAAAGTTACATTTTTTCTTCCTGTTGAGGAATTTGTCCACGTAACTATCTACTTAAAAGTTTATGGTATACAGGAACCTAACTTAACTGTGTAAACTATCACCAAAAGCACAATAAAATATATGTTTTTAAAAGTACATGGTAATTAACAAAAGATAGCTTTGCAATATTGTACAACAGTCAGCATTTTCATTTTCTTTCTGCATATAGACAACACTAAACAGTTGAGATTTGAAGATGTAGTAAACCAGTCAAGTCCAAAAAATTGTACTGTCTACTGTGGAGGAATTGCTTCTGGGTTAACAGGTACAGTGTTTTGTTTTCTGATCGCCTTCTCTGTGGAGCATCATCACTATCAATGCTATTTCAGCATATGTTTGAGTCTTAAATATTTTATGTTTTTGTTTCTCAGATCAACTTATGAGACAGACATTCTCACCATTTGGACAAATTATGGAAATAAGAGTTTTTCCAGAGAAGGGCTATTCATTTGTCAGGTAAAACCCTACCTGTAATATCATTATTCTTCTTCTATTTGATCCACTCCTTTCAGTTATATTATTTGGCCCAAAGTTATCAGTTTGTTAATTTAGTACTTCTCTGTAATGTAGAACTTTCAACTACTTATATAATATACTTTAGGAAAAATATCAAATTGGAAGTATAAGCTAATGAATTTTTATATTATTTACTTAAGTTCTTAAAAAATAAAAGACAAAACCTTATTATCTTCCTCTCTCAGATTTTCCACCCACGAAAGTGCAGCCCATGCCATAGTTTCAGTGAATGGTACTACGATTGAAGGACATGTTGTTAAATGCTATTGGGGTAAAGAATCTCCTGATATGACTAAAAATTTCCAACAGGTAATTCAATTTTTCATAGAACATTTTAAAGTTTCCATCTTACATATCTACATAAAACCTTTGGAAACTCTGTAAAATAAACCAACAAAAAAATAAAGCATATAGCTGCTTTCAGTTGATTTTATTAATGCTGTTTCAAAAGTGATTATTTTTACGCTATTAACTGAATCTTAATACTTTCTTTTCACAGGTGTCACCACCCCAATAAACTTAGACAATGATAAATAACAGAGTCCTATTCACATAAGGGTGCTTACTTAGTTTTTCTCTTCCTTGTCTCCCACTCTTTCTTCAAATACGGTGTTTCTTACTTGTTCCCTGAAAGAGTAATTTGTTTTTTCCTAGGTTGACTATAGCCAGTGGGGCCAGTGGAACCAAGTTTATGGAAACCCACAACAGTATGGACAGTATATGGCAAACGGGTGGCAAGTACCGCCTTATGGAGTATACGGACAACCATGGAATCAGCAAGGATTCGGAGTAGAGTAAGTTGTGTTTTTCCAGAACAGAAACAAAATAATGTTCTGACAAAAGACATAAAAAGTGAGTTTTCCTAAGGAGAATCTATTTAAATACATCGAGCTATTTGGCATTATAAGCATTATAGAAGAAAATCTTATGAAATGTGATTCATGAAGCTGAAAAATTACTTTTTGTTACCTAGGTGAAAATGGAGGTTGAGGTAATATTTGGTGTGTTCTCCTGTCCCTGTAAGCAGTTGGTAGAATTCAATTTACATTTCTAATATATTAGCTTATTATTTATTTTTCATGTAAAAGTTATTGTCTAGAAATTTATCTGATATAAAGTAGCCTATTTTTCCCCCTTTGTTAACAGATTGGGTTGCTCCTTTGTACTCTTTTTTTCTTCCAGGCCAGCCCAGACCTTTATTTTCACTAGTTCCTCCTTTTGAGACTCTTCAACATGAATTTGTGTTTTAGAATTTCTTATAAGTTGATATATTATGTATGTAGTATATTATGGGTAGATTATGTGTTGAATTATTTGTCCCTTTTAAAGTCACTTTTCATACACTCTGAAGAGAAGAGTTAAAGTGGTTATTGTAATAGAAATTTAAGACTAATAGTAATAGCGATTTGTATTCTACACGTCTGTTTTTTTCTTTGTTCTGTTTGGTGTAGATTTGTTGATTTCTAGTTGTCTGATTAGACTTGTCTAGATTTTGGTATAAATGTATATAGGTGATTTTTTTTCTTTTTTGTTTGCTGAAGATTTTTTTTTTTCCTCCCAAGTCAATCACCTTCTGCTGCTTGGATGGGTGGATTTGGTGCTCAGCCTCCCCAGGGACAAGCTCCTCCCCCCGTAATACCTCCTCCTAACCAAGCTGGATATGGTATGGCAAGTTACCAAACACAGTGAGCTGGGACTCTAAGCAAAATTGTAATTCATGATAGGCTTCAGTTTCCTATGACACTCTGAAGACATGAAAGTAGACATCGGAAAATGAAAATATTTATTTTAAAATTGAAATGTTTGGAACCTTTAGCACAGCTTTGCTTTGGTGAAGGACACATGTCTTCTAGTTCTGCCTTTTTAAGTTTTTGTTCATGATGGATATGAACATGATTTTTCTTTGTGTACAAAAACTAAAATAAAGTCAATAAAGAACTCTGACTGCAAATTTTGATATAATAGAAGTGGGTGATACCTTTTGAATCTTAGACACGATTCCATTTTTATCTTGCTGTTCAGTATTTTAACTCACTGTGTTTTTAAAAGAGCAAAAAGGGAGGATTGTGAAAAACTGGGAAGCACATATAAGTTCATCCTGATACTCCCTCCCCTCGCCCCAAGGTGGACCACATTCGAAGTCAGCAGAAAAAAGTGTGACATTCAGAAGAAATTCATGATTTTGGAGTCCCTTTGGAGGAAATATTTACTTTCTCTATGCCTAAAGAAACTGAAGCCAGACTGATAAAGAAAATTTGCAACCTAAATAAGGAACAGCATTTTCTGAGTTACTTGGGCGAATGTTGGTGGTCTGCATCCAGACGTATTTTTAAAATGTCAAAAAGTGTTGATTATTAAAACTATAGTAAATTACATTTCATTTTGGGAGGGGGAGGGAATTCCAAGTATGGTGTTTGTATTAAAGTCAGACAGTCATACTTGTGCTTTTACATGAAGTTTGAATGGTATACATTGTAAATATTGAATATCTACAGTGTTTAAAAAGCATGCTTCAACATAGAAGTAGCAACGATGTAATTATCGGAAGTAACACTTAACATACTCCACTGCTTTGAAGGCAGTGGATTGGTAAGAATGTTCAAGACTGACATTTCCAAGGTTGGCTACTATGTACAATTAAAATTACACAAATTATTATACAGAAAAAGCCTTAACTTTAATTTCATACAAATCTTTAATGCATTAGTATATTTTAAAAAGTCATTGGAAATTAGATTTTTTTTTCTTTTTCTTTTTTTGCTTTACATTATTTGGTATGTAAATACCTTGATTCAAAACCTTGTAAACCTATTTCAAGGTTCCTATAAGTTGTATAGTATAAGTGTTTTTTAAAAATCTTGGGGTGTTTTTTAAAATTAGATATATTTTGCCCAATAATTTTTTTAACAAATTGCTAAAACATCTTATTTAGACAGTTCATTGTACAAATTTATAATTGGATATTCAGTTTAAATAGGACACAGAGCTGTGACTTTTTAATTCTTTTCTCTAAATGGGTAGTGTAAATGAAATGACAAGCCTGAGCAGAGGCTGAGCAGTTTGTATGCAGAGTTTGTAAATGAATTGATCAGGAACATGTATAAGATAGAGGGTTACTTCTGAGGTAATTTTCAGGCCATGTGGATAAAAACTGCCTCAAATTTCTATCAGAACAGGAATGTAAAATAGATAAAGCCTCATGTATATGAACTGTGACAGCTAGGGGGTGCAAATGCTTCAGCAGCGTTTTTGAAATGTTTGAGGCCTGAGCACCAAAATAAGAAAATAACCCTTTATGGTTCAGTAGTAAGATGCAACTTGCACCTACAAATTACTATTTTTTAAACGTTTGAAGTCTTGCAGACAGTTAGCTTTAAAATAATGATGGTTTTGTAAATTGGTGACCACAGTAATTTTGGTATTACTTTACTTCGTCTTCCTCTTACAAATATAGCCACATGTATTCATCGTAAAAATTTACAGGGTCTGAAGTTCTTCATCTTTGGGCTACATTTTTATGGCACTTTTTTTAGTTTTAACTATGTTAGTCATCTATTACCCTCATAAAATTTATCCTGGTATCTTTTGTTTCTGGTTAATGTCTTTGGAGGATGTCTTTGAAGAAGTTAACTTTATATTTTATAAGGAGAGCATTCAAGAAATTATAGCAATTATGCCTCCTAGTTAAAAATTCCATGAAGATGGATGAAACTTGAATAACTAAAGACTTTTTTTCTTATATTGATAAAGCGTATTAAATTCTCAGTTTGTTGTTTTCAGTCTGCCAGTAAATTAAGTAGCTTCTTGAGATAACTGACGGCTAAATATAGCTGCAGTATTTCCCGGTTTCATATTCTGTGATTTATTCAGTCTCTAGGTGTATTGCCATAGTAAGCATATGACTGAAGTTCCCCTTGGTCTAATCTGAGAGAGAACAGGATTTCATGATCAGTTCAGTTAGTGGAAGTTATTTCATATTAAATGATTTTTAAAATATAGATCTACTTATCCAAATTAAATACACTATTTCAAAATACAACTGCCAAGATAACACAGACTCAGACTATTTTTTAACCCAAAGCAAAGTCAGTGCCATCTTGATCCAATTTAAGCCTAAGAATCATTGCCTTTTCTGTGTTTATTAAAAACAGCAGCAGAGATTCTTTGGCATGCAAGAAAAGGTTTTTCGTTTCATAATTATTTTGAGATTTATTTTGGTGATGTGTTTCTGACTACCATCTTCTTTGCTCTAATAATCTCTTTACTAGTATTTCCCCCATGCCATTCCCACTTGATTTTTATGCCTGCTGGCAGTGAGGCTAAAGTGACTGGCCAACTTAAGCCAAAGCTGTAAACCACAGTTGAAGTAAGTCTTTCAATAAAGACTAGATTATATGATAAGTGGCTTTTTCTTATTGTCGTTTATTGCATAATTATTCCTCTTAGGCGGCCATGAAACAATTTGGTATGTGGAGTATATTCATGACTTACTTTCTTAGGTTCTGTGTAAGGTAAAAGTTCATTAGCTTTGTTAAATTAAAATTTTAATCTCTGGATATAAGGAGTAGACATTCATATCCTTCCAAAAATGTGTGCTTTGTTCTTGAATATTAATATAGTAAAACCTTATTAATTTGGAGTCCACAAATATGAGAACTATCATTTTACTCTGCCTAGGAGCCATGGTGGCGCAGTGGTTAAGAGCTCAGCTACTAACCAAAAGGTCGGCAGTTCGAATCATCAGCCACTCCTTGGAAACTGTGGGGCAGTTCTACTGTGTTCAGTAGGGTCACTACGTGTCGGAATTGACTCGAGGACAAGATTTTTGTGTGTGTGTGTGTGTGTGAGGAGCCCTGGTGGTGCAATGGTTAAGCACTCAGCTGCTAACCAAAAGGTTGGCTGTTCGAACCCACCCAGCTACTCCAAGGGAGAAAGTCCTGGTGATCTGCTGCCATAAAGATTATAGCCTAGCAAATCCTATGGGGCAGTTAGTTCTACTCTGTCCCCTGGGGTGGATGTGAGTCAAAAATCAACTCACTGACATCTAACAATAGGCTGATCTTTGGTAGTATCTGTGTGTAAAGACTGCGTTTGGAGAAGGAATTTTATAAACATTCTAGACACTTGTAGCAGGTGTGCCCAAATCTTATTGAAAGTCTTCATTGGGGCTTCTACTTAATAATGTAAACATTGAAGTTGCATTTTAGAATGTATTGGAAAGATGCAAAAACAATTTCTTTTAGACTTCTACTAGTTTATATAAGCCTTCACTCTTAAATGGTCTAAATGAATGAATTTTGCTTAAGGGTAAATATCCCAGTAACAGTGTTCTGAGAGGTTACTATGAATTAGATTGCCACATACTCCATTTTTAACAAGGAAATTATATGAAGAATTATGACTTAAAAATATTTTTATTCCAAATTATGGTAAATTATGCAGTGTTTAAATGCTGTGTTAATATGAAAACTGAGCTCCCATTTTCTACTTAAATTGGATTTATTTTGAAAAGCAGTACAGATAGGCTAGGTACTCTAATTTATAAGGTACTTTGTGTAAATACTCTTTTAGGGATAACAATGACTTCTGGTTTTAGAAACTACCTTAAAAATTTCCAGGAACTTAAATTTATATCTAGGAAATAGGGAAAAAATATATATTTGTTTCTTACCTTGGTAAGGGGACCCGTAATAGGATTGGCCTTTCTGAAGAATTAGATTTTTGCTTGGGGGAAGATACAGGTTAATCCACATAACTTTCATAGTTTGGTTTTAAACAATGTCAATCAGAGTAGCGGTTGATAAAAGGTTATCAGGTGCTGTTGAGTTGGTTCTGATTCAGCGACCCTGGGTACAAGAGAAGGAAACGCTGCCGGGTCCTGCACCATCCTCACAGCTATTGGCTCTGCTTGAGCCCGTCGTTGCAGCCACTGTGTCAGTCCATCTCGTTGAGGGTCTTCCTCTCTTCCGCTGACCCTCTACTTTAGGTGTACCAATAAATTTTTTTCTTAAAGTCCCCAACTTGGATCTAGTACTTAGGTTAAATTTTAATTTTTCAAAATTGTTATATTTTTCAAAGTCCACTACCCATTGCTTTTCTGAGATATTCTTCTGGGAAAGTGACCCACATCTAATGTTTTGAAGTCAATTTAGAAAGTTTTGCCTAGCATGAATAAAACTGAAGTGTTATTTTTATAGCTGTTAGAGGAAAGCCAGAGTAATTGCTTTTTTTTCTTAAACTGTGTTTTAGGTGAAGGTTTACAGAGCAAATCAGTTTTCCATCCAGTAAGTTGTACATAAATTGTTCCGTAACATTGGTTGCAGTTCCCACAGTGTGTCAGCACTGTCCCCATTACCACCCTGAGTTCCCCATTTCCATTCGTTGTACCTCTCAGTATCTTCTTTCCTTGCCTTTGTCATGTTGTGCCGACTTCGCCCAAATTTTGTATTGCCTTTCCCTTTACCAAAGTTAACACATCTACTATCTAGTTGGTGATTTTCCCTCTACCCCTCCCCTCCCTGGTAACCATCAGAGAATGTTTCTGTGTGTAAACCTTTTCTTGACTTCTTATAGTAGTGGTCTCATGCAATATTTGTCCTTTTATGATTGACATTTCACTCAGCATAATATCCTTCAGATTCGTCCATGTTATGAGATGTTTCGTGGATTCATCATCATTCTTTATTGTTGCACAGTATTCCGTTGTGTGTATGTACCACAGTTGGTTCATCTGTTGATGGGCATTTAGGTTGTTTTCCATCTTTTTGCTATTGTGAGTAATGCTGCAGTGAACATGGGTGTGCATATGTCTATTTGTATGACAGCTCTTATTTCTCTAGGATATACTCCTAGGAATGGAATTGCTGGATTATATGGTATTTCTATTTCTAGCTTTTTAAGGACACACCATACCGTTTTTCATAGTGGTTGTACCATTTTACACTCCCACCAGCAGTGTATAAGAGTTCCAATCTCTCCACAACCTTGCCAGCAATTTTCGTTTTTTTGATCAGTGCCATTATTGCCGGGCTGAGATGGTATCTAAGTTTTGATTTGCATCTCTAATGGCTAATGATCACGAGCATCTCTTCATGTGTTAGCCACCTGAGTGTCTTCTTTGGTGAAGTGTCTGCAGGGTAATTGTATGTTTAAAAGTAATGTCTTATGGTCAAGCTGTCCAGTTGTTGATCTTGCAGCCAGGCTTAGCGTGCCTGTGGACCTCCTGTTTTGACTCTGCTTTGTTCTTGTGAACTGAGAAGAGTTTTGCAAAGATTCTGTTTATAATATGGTACTGCAGGATTGTGGCATTTTCCAGTAAACCAGATTTTGCTATACAGCACCAGTAGATACCATAATTTGCCCAACTTTGTGTGTGTGCGTGCCCCCCCCCCACCCTTACAATATCTTTCTTAGGTTCGTGTATACCAATGAGAGAAAGTCTGAAACCATCTGGACAAAATGGGCATGAAATATGTGACCATGTGCAACTGTGCATGTTCTGAGAATCGACATTAACACTGTATAAATTTCAAATTTTCACATTCAGTTCATTTTACTGGCTGAAAGTTACGAGTTGAATTGTTCCATATGTGGCTTATATGATTGCATTTGCAATGAAGCTACTGCGTAAGTCTTCACAAAGTTAAAAAATAATTGATAATGCCCATTTTGTAATCTTTGTTGACTTTCTTTTGAAAAGACTAAACTTGCAAAAAAAACATTTTTAACTAATTTCCTTTGGCTTCATTGTATTTTAGCATATGGCACAGCTCTCGCCTATCTCTTCAATGAGGATTCAGCTTGGGAAAGGGGTGATGATGAGCATAATGAAGGAGGGGAAAGTCCTTGATGCGCTAGAGCATTGATGTGAGACTAGACAGTCCTGGGCTGGGGCCATCACCCATGCATACAGAACGAGGCGTAGGGTGGTGATGTTTTATATGTTATTAGTACAGTGAAACCTGTGAGAGCTGGAACGCAACAGGACTGGTTTGTTTCCCGCCGTTGACAGGGTGCAGTCTTAGCACTTTTCTGTCACCATCTATTAGTGGGAGGTGTTTGAGTTTTCCTTCTCTGACAGCTTTCCACCTTACACAGGTTCCAGCTTTCACTGGTTTTACTGTAGGAGACGATACAGTTTACCAAGCCTAGGAGATTTCCAGGGTTATTGAAAATAAAATATTGCAGACATCTTTGTCTCTTTACTGGCCCTGATAGTTTCTTTTTAATTTCCTTTAAGGTGTGTCTTTATTTAATAATGTATCTACACATGTACTAGATTGTTGGGCAAATACTACTGCTTTAAAACAACTGCCTTTGAGCATCTTCAGTAAAATAAACTTGCTTCGAAAATCACCCTTATCTTATACTCAGGAATCTTTTTTTTTTTTCCCATGGTTAACTTCATTCCCTAGTTCCTTCACTTTTTTTTTTTTTATTGTACTTTAGATGAAGGTTTACAGAACAAATAGTTTCTCATTAAACAGTCAGTACACATATTGTTTTA